CAGTACTTCCAAAAGGAAAGAATATTAAGACATTGAAATTATAAATGGCCTACTCTGATGTATGTTTTGGGTAAAATTACAGAATGAATGTGTTAACTAAGTAAGAACTGGTAGCATAGCCAATTTTATTTTATAAAAGTAAGTTATTAATACTTTCTTGCAAGGCTTGTGAAAGTAGCTTGTGTTGTGTGACAATACCCCCACCAAAATAACCCACCCAGTATACAGAGATGAAGGGGGACATAAACCAGCACAGAAGTGCTTTCAGCTCCACCTGTTTGGTGTTTCATCATTATTTGGAAGAGTGTATGAAATCACTGTTGATAAAATTTACCAATGGCACAAAAATGGTAAGATGCTAAAAATCATGGGGAGGCACTGATTAGTCACTTAGTCAAGTGGGCTCTTTTCAACAATATGAATTTTAAATCAGCAAAATGTAAAGGAACAGATACTAGAGGCATTGATAGGCCTAGGATTATGGTAGAGAAGCAACAGAATCTGAGCTCTCTGTTGAGTGCTCTAGCTGTGGGTGTAAACACAGTCTTTGATTGTGTAAGACTAATATCAAGTTGAAATTTTATCAACGCCTTAGTGGGTTCCCGTGATTTGAAAGGACATTGAAAAATTGAGAAGGGTGTTCCACTGAAGAGTGAGAACATGTGAAGAGGTGACTGATTTGTCATCTGCAAACCCCTTCTTTAGGGAACAGAATTTTTTACTGAAAAACCCTGTTTAATGAAACAGGGGAAGATGTGGCAATATTCAGTAACAGGAAGCAGACTCTGGACAAATTCAAGCTAGAAATGAAGCATACATTTGTGAGTAGTGAAAATACTTAACCAGTCAAACAGTTTACCTAGGGACATGTTGGATTCTTGTCACTGCTGTGTTTGAAACAGAGTACATTTAAACTAAAATTATTAAGTTTTGTTTCAAATTGTAGTTAGGATTTGATGCAGGAAGTATCTCGTGAGGGTCTTTGGTCTGTGTTGTACAGCAGATCAGACTAGATGATCATAATTGTGCCTTCTGGCCTTAAAGTCTGTAAATCTGTTTCTAATCTGGCTGTGGTCTCCTTGTAAGCCCCTAGCACATAATGCCTGTGGCTGGTATGATCAGATTGTGTTCTGCACAGCACTGGTTATAGCTTGCATAGATTATACGACTGGTTTATACAACCTGCTAGACAAATAAACCTGTTTCTACTGGGCAACATGTCTGTTTCCAGTTACCTACCAAGCTTTTGTGCAGAGTTTACAAGCAGCGTTGAATTTTATTGTTTTACTGTATCCTGATATAAAATAGTTCTTGTAAGATGTCTTGTGTCTTACAAACTGGAGCGGGAGGTAGATCAGAACTGTGATTATGTTGCAAAGGTAAGTTATTCTGTTATTCTCTATATGTTTGGGGTTTTTTTTCAGTTGTATACACTAGAATATTTTTTCTTTCTACTCCATTGTGAAAAGGTTTGTCGGGATGCAGACAGGGCCAGAGAATTAGCAAGATCAGGATGGTCATTGCTTTTGTGAACAGTGAAAAATTACTCTTGGATGTGAAATGCAGAAGATTATTTTCGAAAAGTCGTGTTCCCTCACTCCTACATGGCAACGTTAATTTATGTGAACTGATATTAAGTGTTAAATAACTCATCCAGACACTGCTCTTGGCAATATTACCAGAGCAGTCATTACACTAGGATGAATTCTCTGAAACCTCTTTAGAGTATGACATACCAACAAGTTGTCCTCTAACAGGAATCAGCCTACCTCTCTTCTCCCCTGTAGTATTCTTTGGACATGCATTTTTGGAGCTGCTGATAGACTTTTGGAAATTAGAGGTCTTTTGGGTTTTCCATTGAAACAGCTTTGGGTTTTAGTTTGGTTGAAGTTAGGTTGGGCTTTTTCCCCCAGCAGTTTATAACTCAGTTTTGTCATTTGTGCAGGGATTTATATAGGGCATAAGTGCTTGTTAATCTGAATGGATGAAATAGCATCTAACTATCTGCATACTTACTGAATTTAGGAAATATTGACACACTAAATTTAAAAGATTCAGAGATTATTTACACCATGCAACTCCCTTCTCCCAATGCCTGCCTTCAAAATAGCAGCAGTTAAGATTGTTTTGAAGTAAACTAATCACTGCCAATACTTGGATCTAAAACAGAGGTTTTGAATAGTTCCCTTTGAACAATATTATTTGGCCAGTCCTGTATTGTAAAGGTGCCACAGTGCGTTGCTACATGTTGAGTCCAGTTTCAGACCTTCAGCTTTAGATCTCATTTCTAGCCATGCAAGAGGTGGGAGCACCACTGAGGCAGCGTACCAAGACTTGGAGAGATTTGGACATTTTATCACATGGTCTCAGTCAGGGTCTTCTTTCAGTCTGTGCCTTCTTTCAGTCCAACTCGTATGGCGTTGGTGGTGAGCTGTGTCCAGATCTCCTCTGCTGGAAGGAAGCTCACTCAGTGGAGAGGCCTTTGAGTGGAAAGTGTAATGATTTCAAGGCTTAGCAATTCAGAACAAGAGCATGTTGTTGTTCCCAGTGCTTTAGACTGAAGGTACTTCAGATGTACAAAATATTACGAAGATTTTATCTAGTTAGCATTTTTTAACTCAGGCCCATTTTTACATATACTTACTGCTTTGAACAGGTCCTACATATTTTTGGCAGCATCAGTGCAGCCTATATTGGACACTTCTGCTCCTTGCAGAAATAGTTATCCAACGGTTGACATAGCCCCAGTGATGCTGGGACACACATTTTAATGGTGTCACTTGATGTGCAATGCAAACACACATTGAACTATCATTGCAATAAGAGGAAGTGCTCTATGTAATAGTGTTAAAGATTTCCATAAAGACACAGAGGATGCTGAGGAAGAGCTTTTCAATTAAGAGGAGTGAAAACTCAAAAGTGAGAGGACTTAACCTGATAAAGTCTGGTTGATTATTTCTTAAGCAACGTTTGAAATACCTAAGTTGTGTCAGAGGCCACTAGTAACAGTTGACAGTTACTGGTGGGACAAACATCACAATAACAGAAACCAGCTTGAATGCACTACGTACAGGGTGTAAAAACAGCCTTAAAATTTGTCCATGTCCTGACTGTCAGCACAGCTGAGTTTGCACCCTCCCAAACAGCCCTCCAGAAATGCAAACAAATAGGCAGTCAGTGCCTCTGTCCCCTTGTCCCTACCCTAAACCACCTGCAATGGGGGGGAGTGTGCTCAGACTCTCACCAGAGAGCAGGTGAGACCTTGTTGGAGGTGCTCCTCTGAAAAGGTCCATTTATGTGGTTGGTGTAAAACTCTCATGTCTCACCATTTAGCTTTAGGATTACATTATGGATTTAGAATTTCCGCTGCTGGCGATTCCCTTCAGCCCCATATGCAGCCGCTGCATACGGCTCACACAGCCCTGCCTGCTCAGTTCACTGCTCTGCTGCTGCACCTCCTTGGTAAATTCCCACAGTCCATGAGAGGAGCAGCTTCCCAAGTATTTACCAACTGAGCCCATGGCTTAAATAACAAACATTTGAAAGCCATTCAGTTTTGTTTTAAGCATATTTTGAGGTTGTTTGAGAACGGGTAACCGTCTCGCTGGTTTGGTGAACTACATAATATTATGTAGAATTTATACTGTGGAGGGAGTTTTCAAAATAAGTTATTTCCATTGGACCATTTGGAGAAAGCTTGGCTTTGTCTTTTTGGCCACTTAAGGAAAAAAAGCTATGTGTAAAACTTGTTTCTTTTTCTTGTTGAGCTCCCTCATAGAAATAATTGCCAATATTGACAGCCCGCAAGTGTTTCAGATTCCTGTCACTTTTAGTGAGGATTTCCATACTTCTTCCTTTAGAAGGAACTCTGCATTGCAAACAAGTGTTCTACAAAAATTTAGCTGTACGTGTGGTTAGATGTATATTCTTTTTGAATATGTTCTTATAATTGTATATGAATATTTATTACACGTGTAATATCTTTTACATCTATTGAAGTATAGGAAGAAAAATAAAAGTTTAGTGTGGGACTCAAATATATATTTAATTGATGAAAATTTTCTTTTATGTGTTAAATCTCTATTCAAGCTAATCCTCCAAAAGCACTTGTGGTAGCTAAATTACACATTTTACTACTTGAGCATTAGAAAAACCATTAGTACAAACTTAAAGGACTGCAAAAACCAGTAGATAATTCTAATTTCAAATACAGAAATTAAATATATTTTGTACTTTTTTATTACTTGAGTTCTTTTTTATTTTATTGACTACTTTTTATTTTAACTATATGTTCTTACATGCTGCAATCATAATGTAGTCTAATAATATTAATATTTTATAGAATCTGTATTTATAGTTCTTTATTTAGAAACAATGCAGTAGGTCTGCAGATATTTGAATCCTTCTGGAATGGTGCCCTCCAAATAATGATAAATTACTTGTGCAGTATGCCATTTGCTAATTATATCCATGATTTACTGCAGAGCAAGACTTAAATCATTCATTTCAGTCTTGCGTAACAGTGCCATAAAAATTTTAGGTTTAAAAATGGTTTCCATGTGTATAATTTAAACAAATTTTAGAGCAATTGTATACACAAAATATTGCAACCATCCATTTGTTACATTCTTTGTCTCTCTTTTTTTTAAACTTGTACTTTTAATTATTACTGTGGTTGAAATTGTTATGCTTCATTTTCATAATCATAGCTTTTAATTCTACAACAGTTTTCTACATGTTAGATTAAGAAAAAGATGGCTAATTGTGTGTAGATACCATGTCATTCCTGAATAGCCCCACATTCTGGAAACCCATTTTAGAAATACTCAGTTCATGAATTAGTCTTCAATTAAAGGCATTTCTTTTTAAAAAATTAATTATTAGATCTAAGATCTTGTTTTCAAGTAGCTGATGTTGATTTTGTTTCCTTTACTCATCCGTACAGTTCAAAGTACAGTTAACCCTGTTTCTTTGTATGTTGTCCTTATCCATACCTGTAGGTGAGAAGCCTTACAAGTGTCCTCATTGTGATTATGCCGGTACTCAGTCTGCATCCCTCAAATACCACTTGGAACGGCACCATCGAGAGCGACAGAATGGGTCAGGACCACTCTCTGGGCAGGCTGCAAGTCAAGAACATAAAGACGAGACATCGAGTAAAAGTTCTGTGTTTATTAGACCAGATATATTGAGAGGAGCCTTCAAGGGGCTTCCTGGTATTGATTTCCGAAGTGGCATGGTCTCACAGCAGTGGACGTCAGGAATGCTGTCTTCTGGAGATCAACAAGGACAAGCAGCTGGCATGTCTTCTGAAGTATCTTCAGAAAATATGAAGGGTTCAGACTTACCTTCCAAAGGAACACACTTCTCTGAACTTGGCCGTGCTTACCAGAACATGGTTGGGAATGGTGTGAACTTTCAAGGGTCTCTGCAAGCGTTCATGGACAGCTTTGTCCTAAGTTCTTTGAAGAAAGAAAAAGAAATGAAGGATAAAGCTCTCTCGGATCCACTTTCAGCAAAAGCTCTGGGCTCGGATGGTGGTGAGGAAAAGATAAATAGCAAGTCCTCACAGAGGAAAACAGAAAAATCACAATACGAGCCCCTTGACTTGTCGGTGAGGCCGGACGCAGCCTCCCTGCCGGGTTCCTCCGTGACGGTGCAGGACAACATCGCTTGGCACGGCTGCCTGTTCTGCTCCTTCACGACTTCATCTATGGAACTGATGGCTCTGCACCTCCAGGCCAATCACTTGGGCAAGGCTAAGCGTAAGGACAGCATCATAGGGAACAACAAAGACCAATCTAGAGAAGCTTCAGCCTCAGTGAACAAAGTGAGCTTGCTCCCCTCTCCTGCGCAGTCCAGCAAGGAGGCGGTTGTGTCAAACATGCTGAGCCAGCTGGGCTCAGCTTCTGAGAAAATGACCCAAGGACAAAATAAGGAGACCCTGGGAGAACAAAAGAGTGCTGCCTGGCCCAGCCACATGGAATCCAGTTTTTGTAATTTTACCACAGACTTCTATAAGCAGTTTGGTGTTTATCCTGGTGTTATTGGCACAGGAACACAAAATTCTTGCACCGGTAAAGAATCTGAAATAAAAACACAGTCCGAAGATGACCCAAATATTCTGCTTTCTGACTCTGTAAATAAAAGTGCTACTGATGACCTTTCTGACATAGCTTCATCTGAGGATATGGAGTCTTCCAAGGAAGAAACCATTGAAGATGAGGACATTGACACAGAACCAGACATTATGAATAAGCAGTTGTCTGCCCTAAATAAAGAAAGCAATGAAGGAGGCGACAATATACAAAGTGCAGTCACCTCACAGCCAACACAAGGGCTCGTATCACCGCTGCCGCAGGCGTCAGAAAAGCAGTGGCACAGTCAGAATCTTCTGTCCTCCCATGAAACTGCACAAGGAGTGATGAAACCTGAACAAGTTCAGGGTCCACAGGTCCTGGAGAAGCAGATGAACATGTTGTCAGTCCTAAGAGCTTACAGCTCTGATGGCTTAGCAGCCTTTAATGGACTTGCAAGTAGCACAGCAGCTAGTGGATGTATCAAGAGACCTGACTTGTGTGGTAAGTTTTAGATCTTCTTTTAGACCATTTCAGAAAACATTTGTGCAGAATCATGAAGCTGCTCTTTAAATATACTTAGTCATGTTTGTTAGTGATACATTTTTTTAAATGTTAAACCCTGTGGGCCAAACTCTAGTCTTAACACGTGGTCTACTCCATTGAAATCAGCAGTGCTGCATGCATATACTCATACAGGATTTTAGAAAGAACTTGCTTTTTCAGCTAGAGTAGCAGCAATATAGACTATCTGTGCTAGTGGCATCTGAAGGGGATACTTACTGCTTTAGCATACTCAAAGGAGGAAAAAGTTCTTAAAAATTTACATGGTAACTTGCAAACTTTTCAGTATTTTGTTATAAGTAAGAACCCAAGAAAAACACTGGATGCTTTGCCAAGTAAACCTTGCTTTCTGTCTTTTTTTTTTTTTCTTTTTTCCTTTCTTTCTTTGAATTGGGATGTGTTCAATTACCACAATATTAAGTAAAAGAAAGGCCAAGTGCATGGAATGTGTCTACCTGTGGTGAGGAGCCTTTTTTTTTACCCCACCCCTTTTTAAAAATTACATTTTTCTGGTTTATTTTAATGGCACCTATATAGTAGTTCCCCGTGACCATTTTCACTATTCTAACTAGCAGTTGTACTAATTGTGATTTGCCTAATTAAGATATGCCTCTAGGTAATTAAAAAACCAACAACAAACCAAACAACAAAACAACCTTTTACCCTTATTATATTTGACGAACATGAAAGTTAAATTTGTTTCAGACAAATGAGAATGAGGATTTTTCCATTTATCTCCTATTCTATCAGCATAGTTCTTGTTTGAAAGAGATTTTAGAGTGTAAGTCATTGGAAAACAGTATCACTTTACAAAGCAGAGTCAGGAATGGACAAAAAAAACCTAGTAATGCTTATTTCACTTAACCTCCAAACTAATCAGAAAACTCACTGTCAGAGCTGAACAGGCATAATAAAATGTATTTCAGGTAAAAAAAAAAAAAGAAAAGAAAAGAAAATGTGACCAGCAATTATAAAACCTGACAATTTAAAATGAAATCCTAAGTCTGCAGGCTCTTAGGAGTGGTTACCTTGGTTAACTTAAGGTTAGTGGGAACTTTGATGTTACTAGTGTGTTTAAAGCCATAAGCTCTTCTTTAGGCCCCCTTTCTGCTTTTCCAAATGTATTAATTGGTCTGATAAAAAGTCTGATTTCTCCTCCCAAAGTTTCTCTCATTTGTATTCTTAAAGCATTTTTGCTTCACAATATTGTCATTGCTTAAACTGAATTATGAGCCCAAGTATCTTCATGGCCTTATGGCCTTGCTTGTAAAACTCTGTGTCTCAACGCACTAAGAACCAATTCAGAAAGTTGCAAATATTTCTAGATTCTTCAAAATCAGCAGCTACATTACTGATTTTTTGAAAATAGTTGATAGTTGATTTAATTTGCAGGTAGTAAAATCCTACTTGGATTTTTTTTCTTTTTCTCTCTATTTGTGGCAAATAATCAATTCCAAGAAAAAAACACCAAACCCAAAACAAATACACCTGGGAAATTACTCTCAAAAGAAAAAAAAAGTAAAACCAAAAAGGAAACTAAGATTTAGTTGTTTTGTACAAAATATCTTTATACTTCTTCCTAGACCTAAGATTTTTAAAAGAACAACAAAAAAAACCCTCTAACATTATCATTGAAATGAGGTCATGTTGCTTCCATTAGTTTTTTGTTTCATCTTCCAATCAATTCAACAGAAATTTTACGATGGCTTGTGTTTATACCCTTTTGAAGACCATATCCCTTTCACAATCTCTGCCCAGCAATAATGGATTTGACTTAAAGTATGAAGGAAAATAAAACCAAAAAACAGAAGCATGTCTGTTCTACTTTTTAAGCCATCTTTTAAATGGAAAATGCAGTGCAAGTCCTCCTTTCTCCCCCCTCCAAAAATAGGATTTTAAAATTCTTTACTGATCTTCTGTTGAGTGTTTGCAGAATGTAAGTATTAAGGTTGACTATTTAAATATATTATTTAACTTTTCTTAATATCTCATGGCAAAAGTGGATGAGTATGAGCAAGCCCTGTGTCAGTAGTTCTTTTTTTATCCGGTTGGCTTGGACACCACTCACCTGAAAGTAGTGGTTTGGGGGACTTTTCATTTTTTTCTGTGACATTTTAAACTGTGAAATCACACTCCATCTGTGCATGCTAGTGTGAGGAATCTCACCTGATGTTTCTGTACTTGCAGATTAGCCATCAGGAGCACCCCGTTCATTTATTAGCATTCCTTCCATCTTGCACAAAGCCTGTGACCTTAGTCATGATTCCCTTTGTCTCTCCTACTGCCTGAGAGATCAGAAAACTTGAGCCCCACCTCCAGCACCCAATTCCAGGGCACGATTCTTATGTTCTTTTGTATTTTGGGACACTGTGTGCATTTGCCTTTCTTTGTACACCCAGTGATGTGTGGGTTGTTGACATCTTGAGAGAACACCGATGCACTTGGTACAGTCCTCGCACAATCAAGACAGCAAGGCATGGTGCTCTTTCTGCAGTCAGAATACAGTGGAAACAAAATTGAAATAAAATATCTCAGTTTCAGTTAGCAATTGCATCTTTGGTTGGCCACGCTAATTGAGTTAAATTTCTGGCCACAGTAAAAACAAGCTGGGATTTTCAGTGATCCATGTGGATCATTTTTAGTTGACAGATTTTACTTTAAGGTAACAGGTCAGTTACTAAGCACAGATCTTGGCACAAAAAGGTTTTAATGTCTAGAGAATTAGACATTAAAATTCTCTAATTTAGACATTAAAATGTCTAATTCTCTAGACATTATGCCATCAGCTCATGTTGTTTTGGAAAGTCACCATACATGAGGGGAAGCAGTCCTTAGTTTCCCTGTATGTAGAATGAAAAAGATGGATGATGTACACATAATTCATTTGTGCTTCTATCATGCTTCAGGCTGTAGGGATGAAAGCCACAATTAGGAAAGAACCCTAATTACTACATAATACAGAAATTTCCATGTCAAAATGCTGCTGAGTAAAATCACAATTTTTGGTAATATTTCTCCTTTGCATACATAGCAGAATGGGAAAGAAAAGAGAGAAAAAAAAGATACCGTTGATGAATTTAGAGTCACTCCTGACCTGTACTTAGTTGTGGTACCAAGTGCCTGTACCTAGGAGCCAATCTTGTTCTCTTTGCTGCCACGCAGCCTCTAAGAAGAAGACATGCCTCTCCTTGCTGCTTGGCAGCCACCAGCCCAGTGTGGAGGGGAAGCCCAAGGCTGTGGCTCCATGGCTTGGTAGCTGTCCTGAGCATCCATATACTCTGCTTTCACAGCCCTTGATCATTTGAGAAGTTATGCTTGGATGTTCTGGACACTTACTTTGTATTTAAGTTTTGGAAGATCTGTTTTCTTGTCCATTTATGCTTTTCTCTTTCTCTGCTCATCTTCCCATATAGATGTAGTTGTATTGCAGTCATGTTCAACCTCCTGTTCCAAATTGTTAGCTTAGACATGAGTTGCACAGCATCTATTTATGACAAGACCCTTTCCTTTCTCTCTTTCCTCCCCTTTAAATTTTTCTGCTTTGTGTCTAAGATGGTAAAATTTCCTGCTTTCATCTTCTGTTTGGGGGAGGTACTCAGGCTTTCAAAGAAGAGATGGTGGGCTACAGAACTATTGGCCAGACGTAGTCCAGGGCATTAGCTGGTTGCTTAATGGGTTAGTGCTACTGAACCCACACTTAGTGATGTCCAAAAGTATTAGTTCCATGTTGTCTCCATAAATCTAATTTGCTTCCATTCATGCTTGCTTTCCTCTGCAATTAGTTCTGTTTTCTCCTGCACCCTGTTATCACTTCTTTCACTGTCTGAAAACAGGGCAGGGTCCTTCTAATGTCTGGTAGCAGCTTTGGAGTTCTGGTCCTGCAAAGGGCTGAGCACTTTCCATTTCCTTTGAAGCAGAAAGCATTCAACATTGCACAGCATTATTAAAATGTTCAGCATTGTAACTTTCTGAAATACCTTCCAACTGTGGAACTGCAGCACAGACAAGAGGGCTGGGCAAGGGGAAGATCGATTGTGGCAGATTATTACAGCTTTATTGTCACCTAATTACAGTGCTCTACCCCAATGTTTAAATAGTGAATTTAGTTGTTGTAAATTGCTTACTGCCACAGGTGTCAAAACCAAAAAGATTATAATGCTAACCCCTTCAGAACCACCACCAATATATAAAATACAGACAAAGATTTTTAATTGTTTGTGGTGGCTTCACTTGGATCCTTATTACCACTCTTTTAAATTTTAAAATCCATATTAAACAGAAGCAAAAGGGCTGATATGTTGAAGCTCTAGTGCAGCTAGGAGGCGATGGAAGGTCACCCAGCTGCAGTAAATTGTAGTGCTCCTGCCCATTTGAAGCATCATAAGTAGCCCAACATTTAATCCCGATCTGCAGTTGAAGGAGTAACCAGAATGTTCTTTTCCTTCAAGGCAGAATGAAATGATATGGAAGTTTTGCTGCAGACTTTTCTGTATGCCGTTATGGTGATTTTGAAGAGGTTGCTTTAGTTTTGGTTAGGAGGTCCAAGCTCTGCTTTGATGTACAAACCGTACTGCCGAACGGGAGATTAGCACCTCGGCCCCACGCCCGCCTTTCAGCCACACTTCTGGATGCTGCAGTGCCATTGGCGTGGCAATATCAAACCAAACTCATATGGCTTGCTTCCTTCTTTTAATTAACTGGGAATGCCAGTGATCCAGTGAAGTTTGTGCTGCTGGATAAGAGGGCCGGTCTGTGAATAGCATTGTATTTGCCAAATGGTTCGCTAGTCATTTCAGTACAAACAAATGGATGGTGTCTGTAAGTCTGCAAACACTGTTGACATTTAGCCTTGTTTATGTTACTTTGCTTTTGCTGCATATTTTTGGCTAGAAAAGATACTGTCTGAATCAACATTGACTTCCTAAGCAGAAGCTAAGGAC